CCACTCCTCCCGCTCCACTTCAGGGCTCTCGGAGAATGACACAAGTGGTTTCAGTAAACCTACGTATTCGAATTTAAAGAGTTTCCGATTCTTATTTATTAGCCAATCAAAACTAGCATCAGCACCACCACGAAGGTTGTCGCGAAAACTTGACACGGAGTACATGTTGCCTAACATTGAACAACATGCTAGCCGAAAATAACTGGTTTCTTCAGTGTTTAGAGCGACACGGAAATTCCGACCGACGTGAAAAACTGCACTTCAATCTTATGACCCTTGATACAGCCAGTCACAGATGTAGGACTGATATTACGCGCGCTTCAATTGTTTTTTCAAACACTAGGAATCAAGATATGAAAAGAATATTAATATAAAAATCAGTGATACCGGAAAGATACTCAATCAAATTTATAAATTTTACCTGTTAGGTGTGATCCTACCGTAAGGTGAAGCTGAGCACTGGCTGCCCGTCGGAGATGGTGTGTGACCTGCAATTACCAGGAGGCTAACTTTTAAGCCTGAACCCAGTTGCTATGTAAACTGTGCCTCCTTGGACTACCGCCTTGTCGTGGAGGGGGAGGTTGCGTGCCTCAATGACCCTGAGAGCTATACCGCCGGGGGTCTTCCCCCGGTAGGTCTAACCTTGGTGGGCAGGTCAAAGGGTAGAGGCCAGACTAAATGGTAGTCACTGGCCCTCCAGTTTGGGGGCTGGGCGTGCGGCTAATCCCCACACCCCATAAAAATAATTGATTACGGAAACCGACCGGCCTCAAGAGTCCTGATGGGCCCGATGAGGATGAGTGAGTGTGTGGGAAACTGTTGAATTGGTTCTTAAAAGTATAGGGGGAGAGCTACCACAAGTTGGGTAAGGTTTGATGGTACATTTTCTTTCTGAATACACTCATGATCATATGCGCTCTCAAGTGTAATTCATTTCATATACTTACCTCGTTTCATTGGGGCTGCCCCTGGTGAGTTGCGATAATTGTGAGGGGTTCCCGGTCTACTCGAACTACTAGCAAGTAGCCTCTTTAGGTGACTGTTCTCTTCTTGTAGGACAGCAACTTCTCTGTTCAATACGTATTTAAAAAAAAATAGCGAGCAGATTACAAAAATAGCTACTTGAAGTTATGCGCCTGTAAAGGTATGATGGCGGAATTGCGAAAATTCACAGCGTTTTGTTAATAGTGCGAGGCTAACTTCTGACCGCAAACTGATTGGATTACTCTGTACAGCTCGCAGGATTTCGCGCGGGAGCCTCGCAAACCACTCGCGCAAGATATCCAGTCAGCCACGCGGGCTATGATTGGCGCTGATTCTAGGCTTATCACACTGGCCTTAAGATACATCCCGTTCATTTCGTTTGTAACGAGGCGGGTGATTTCCTCGAAAGACAGGAGATGGAAATACGTTTTCATATTTTGCATGTCTGGATAGGATAACAAAATCAGTCCCTTGAACGTACAGCTTTATCGGTAACTCAGGAAAACATCTCCTTGTCTATTCCCTTAAAATGTTGACAGCTATTTGATACTGACTTCATTAACTATTACCACTCTGTTACAGGTTTTCAGATTGTGTTTAGAACGAGTGATTTTTGCACGAAGGTTAACTAAACCAGATTGACCGGGTGAATGACGTTTTGCTCGTCAACTGCAACTCGGTATTTTTCGGTCCATGTAAAAACAGACGAACATAGATT